TGATATTACGTCTGTGTCCATAATATCACCAGGGTCCATAATATCGCCACCTTGAGAAACAGTGTGCTTAAAGATATTTTTACTGCAACATACCCTAGGTATGTACATTTGAGGTGTGAAGGAGTGCATACCAAAAGTATGTTGCAGTAAAAATATCTTTAAGCACACTGTTTCTTAAGGTGGTGATATTATGGACCCTGGTGATATTATAGACACAGATGTTAAAACCTAGTTCTAACCATAAATATAATGCCAGTATTCGAGCCGAAGCAATCTGCAATGACACTGGTAAGTATGTCAGAGTTACAGTGTTTTTTTCATTCATACAAGCATAGACAATGTATCCAGAGCGTTGGAAAAGGTTGTTAGCCCATTTATACTGCATATTAACCCATTACGAGGTCGGTTGAGGTATTTAGGCATACCGTCTAAATTACGCTATCTGTAGCGCGATCAAGGCCGATCCAACCCGGGAAACTTCAATCCCTGCAGTTTTAGTGTGTTGAATTACGAGATAGACAAAATTGTTACTGCAGTAGTTATCACTCCAGATGGAGAGACTGATATTGACACTGGTGTTCTTCAAGGGTATCCTTTGGTCCCGGTTTTGTTTATTGTATGTTTAGACTATGCTTTAAGGTGCTCGATTTCAGACACTGATAGTTTTGCCCTCTGCCATCGTATGCCACAAAAGTATGCATGGTGAGATATCTCAATAAATTCTGTATGGTGAGATATCTATGGCAATCACTCGATATCTTTATGCAATCAGATACAGATCCATGTACAGATACATATCCATGCACAGATACAGATTCATGTACAGATATATAGATACAGATTTTCCGAGTATGATGACCGTGTCAGTCCCTACACCTGAGTGAGGGTTACAGTTGACACGGTGGCCTTCGTGAATTTGTTTAAGGTGGATAACAGGTCGCGAATCTGAGACCCACACACTTGAATGGGCATCCGTCTTCCCCAGCGGATCCATATCGAGGGAGACGTGCTGGTTCCGGTTGGGGTGCTTGCAGCGAGCTGCCGGATGACTTGGTTACGCTCAAGGTCCGCCTTGACTACGCCAGCCCGCCTGGCGCTGCTCTCGTCCGCCAGCTGAGGACAACTGCCGTTGGAGACTTGTCCCTCTAGTTGGGATAGCTCTGTGCTTTATCCATAAAGAAGCATTTCATTTATTTTCTCATTCATTCATTCTCACAGATGCATTGGACGATGATGACACAAACAAGAAGAAGAAATGTTGGAATCTGTTCAAGACGATGTTGAAGATCACCAGCATTATTCTCATCGCAACATCATCGTTATATTTTGCAGGTCAGCGCCTTTATAACTGATTAATTCTTTGTAGTGCAGGGGAAGCCAATTAATTGCACAACGCTTGCTTGCACACTCCGGTCAATTGCACCAAATCCCAAAATCCCAAACCGTTTCCCATTCACTCCATTGTTAGTGCACCGTGCAGTAAGCCTATCGCTGTATTTTGTAATATCTTACATGTATATACTTTGAAACGCAGCAATGTTAATTAACAGTACATTTCTCTCTATCTATCTATCTCTTTTTAACGCAGTCAAAGCCAGCGCTCTTTCGAGGGATGTGACAAAAATCCAAAACCGGTTGCGACTAAATGAGCTGGAACGTGAGTTAAGGAGAATTCTAACAACACAACGCACATAATACTTTGCATAATATGTTCTTTACAACACTCAGTATAAAGTTATACAATAAATATGATTGCAAGTTAAAAGAAATTGAGAGAATAAGTTACAGACCAACCGCATAGATTTATTTCGGATTCCTGCCATGCAGTTCATACTATTGCTTATTGCTAAATCTAGTAACTTACATGAACATGTAGGTATTGTTTTCGGCCTGTCTGTGTTTCTGTTTCTCTGTGTTTTCACCTACTTGTGGTTAGCATAACTTCAGAACGCCTTTATGGATTGTGTTTTTATGTATTTATGTATTTATGAAGATTTACCACATTTGTGTTGATATGTGATCTGTTGGTAGTTCTTAGGAAGGCAAATACCAAGGTCAAATCTAGGCCTCCTGGTAGCTGACCTTGGTACTACAGCAGTACTGACGGTTTCTTATCTTTTGTCCTGAATATTCTACGGTCCTGATTTATTATGTGACAGATAGCTTTTCCTGTCATGAACTGTCATGTTTGGTCCCCCAAGTAGCTTGTTCTGGAACTGCAGAGGCGGTTCCGGCCGCGACATCTTCAAAAGCGGATAAATCAAGAAAGAAATGACGAGTTTTCATGAATTTTGGCATGTAGATAGCGTACACAGAGATGTACACAATTGAATTAAAATTACGTAAATGAGGGCTCAATTTGCATAATTAATGAGGAAATTGATCATTGCACATTAAAGGCTTTGATACATGTAATGTATGTCACGTGAAACATTAACAGAGACATATCATGTAAATGAACACATAATTTGCATGTTTAATACAAATAAGCCATGGTTTCTTTAACCCTATCTAGACCGGGTTTTTTGGGCTTGGTGGGACGGGGGGGGGGTCTCTTGCCCCCCCCTCAGAACTCGCGAACGGTATATCGTAGGACCACCAAATTTTCAGAGGATGGTGTACTAGTAAAAATTTATCATATCTACAATTTTTATGTCGTTGTGACGTAATATGACGTCATTATGACGTCATTAATGTGATTTTATTGGCCAAAACCGTCTAGATAGGTTATTCCCTGAAATCTAAACAGTATACGACATAACTTTACCAAAAGTGTTTATGACAGAATATTAGGATGTACTAAGTCTTATGTTGCCCATAGCGACACCGGTGACGTCATAAATGACGTCATGCATATATTACCTATCCGCCATCTTGGATCATCAATCTTGAATTTTGAAAAATAGTTTTTTTTCAGGATAAAGCCTAAAATACATTGTATACAGACTAAAGACGTTCATATAAACCTTTTTTGTAAAAAGAATTGGGAGTATCGATGAAATTTTAAGGGAAATGAGCTGTATTTACCTGATCTAATGATATGGTCCGCCATCTTGGATTTTGGCCAATGACGTCATCAAATTAGCATAAATTATGCATTTGTATTGATAAAATTTACATATAATTATATGTGATGTTATTTATATTAGAAACAATGTGTAACTTGACATAAAACCCATAAAATTCTGTTGTTTAAATGGAAATTATTAAATTTGGCAAATAATGCCTGTCAGAAACCCGTTGCCATGGCAACAAAAAAAATCATAATCTTATTCCACTGATACATATTTGTTGCCAACAATATTTTAGGAAAAGTCACCAAGTTTGGCGGTTTTAGCTCTAGCCGTCCAGACGCTATGTGACATCAAAGTTGCCGCGGGCACATTTAGCCCCCCCCCCCCGTGTACACTATACGACATCCAGTAGATTTCTAGCAAACACAAAAATGGAGGGAAATGACAGTCAACAAGCCAACAAAGACAGCATCACCAGACCAACAAACTTGGAGAACACCACAGCAACTTCAAGCGCTAACGTTGTAAGAACTGTCGAACCTCAAACTACTGTGTGTTTGTTTGCGTCAGCGGAAAGGCTGCCGAAGCAACCACTACATGCAAAACTGCGGCGAAAAAGTAACATGTGATCGTCCCAAATCTGGACGCAAGTAATAGAACCTATGCATCTTGCTTGTTGCTGTCAACTTACCCGTTAAAGATTGAGCCGATACATGTACCTACTATAACTTGCCATACCCTGCCAAACACGACTACATTAGTGTTACTCTTCATGTGCTGTATAATGTTTATGCGTTACATTATCTATCATTGTCATTTCTGTGAATTCCTTAAAACATCTGCTGTTAGTTTGTGTAACATTACGTAGTGCTACAATCTGCGTAAAAAGTAGGCTTCATTGCGTGTTATCTGCTAAGTTGTCATGGTATTGAAAACTGTTTCATTCTGCCTTTTTCTACAAACAGCCAGCAGAATTATGAAGGTACCCGTTCTCAATACACAAGCTGCAAACTTGTAAAGTAATGGCAGTCCTACGAAAATTCTCTTTTTAATGCTTTATATCGACGAACAATGGTTGTGAAGTACGTGTCTTCGCACATCTTGTGCCACCGGATCAGTGGCTACTCTACAAGTGAAAGAACCGCGTCCATGGGCCTTGATAAATTATTCATAAATCGGTCGCCGCTAGAAATTTACTGGATGGCATTCAGTGACGACCCCCCCCCCGGTCTAGATAGGGTTAAGGTAAATGATGGAAATTTCATCTCTTGTAACATGTGTATGTTAGTTAAAGGTAACATCACTATGCATATATTATGTTAATGTGAATGTCATTTGCATAATTGATATTGAATGCTGAAACAAGCTTAAGACCTTGCCCACGAGGACTTTCACATAAATACATATGTAATTTGAGTTGAGAAAACCATATAGAACCTAGTATAGAATAAATTATGCTACGTGTACATGTAATCATCACATCCCCGTAGTAGTTGAGAAAAATCCCAGAACCAAATGAAAATACAAAACCCTCGAAATATTTGCATGTAGGTATGAGGTCGCCGAATTCTTATTTTCTGATTGGTTCAATCGATGTCAAATTAATTGTGAATATAAATATATGATTGTATTTTGCGTTTGTTTTCCTTCGGGCCTCAAGGGGAGCCTGGACCAGCAGGAAAAAAGGGGCCCATAGGCCTAGGTGATGTTGGACCTGTCGGGCCCCCTGGCCCACCTGGACCACCAGGGGAAAAGGGAGGCCTAGGTGATGTTGGGCCTGTCGGGCCCCCTGGCCCACCTGGACCACCAGGGGAAAAGGGAGGCTTAGGTGATATTGGGCCTGTCGGGCCACCTGGCCCACCTGGGTTACCAGGGGAAAAGGGAGGCCTAGGTGATGTTGGGCCTGTCGGGCCCCCTGGCCCACCTGGGTTACCAGGGGAAAAGGGGCCACTTGGGCCAACTGGATCGCCTGGAATAAAGGGGCCCATGGGGCCAGCTGGGCCCATCGGTCCGCAAGGTCTACCTGGACGCGCGGTGTGCCCTGCTGGACGAACTGGAACACCTGCAAAAAGCAGTGCTCGTGCAGGTAAGAGTCTATTTCTATCTTTATACAAAACTGAGCACAAGAAGAAATGGATCCCCATTCTGTATAATGCGGATCTTATTTGTATAAATAACAAGAGCCCCAAAATCCCATACCTCCATGAAATATTTAGACTAAGTGTTTTGTAAATTATGTGCTTTATCTTGCGTCATTAACCAACACATTTTAAGATACACTACTTACCCTCCTCTTCCTTACAAGGTCAAGTATTTTACCCACTTGTGTAGACGAATGCCCAATCCTGCTTCTCTTCTCCATGATAAAACACACCAAGAAAATAGGTAATATGTAAGAGGCAAACATAAACATCAACACAATCTACACAATCTACCATAGACACAACTTCTGATTTTTGGGTTACCGACCTTGGGCTGGGCCACAGATGTTACATTTGGTCAGGAAACTTGATATTACAGACAATACACCCCATTTCCAGGTCAATGATCAAATCAGAAAAGGTTCATAGTACGTTTATCTATCTGTCTATCCATTTATTTACCTATCTAGCTATATTCTACCGGTGCAGTAGCTCAATTGGTAGAGTGTTCGCTTTGTAACCGGGAGGTCGTGAGTTCAAACTCCGGCCGGGTCATACCAAAGACTTTAAAAATGGTACATCTCTGCTTAGCACTCAGCACATATGAGAAAGAGTGTGGGAAGGTCAAACACACAGCACTACCAGCAGACTAGCCCCCTGCTGTAGTGCCCTGCACAACTGTGTGTCGCCCAAGGGCTACGGAAATGGACATGGGCACCAAAACCCTATGCTCTGTATAGACCTATATTCTAGTTAAGTAAGTACTATAAAAGTAAATCATCTCAACAGATACTCAGATAAGTGAACTGCAAAGCAACTATCAGGAGCTGACAGAACAGACTTCAGGCCTGAGGCAACAGAATGAAGATCTTGAGAAGAGACTGTCAGTCCTTGAGAAACACATCCGGAACACAACTCATTCTGACTCAACAGGTAAGGACTATCATGACGAGGTGACATATTCAACACATGGCAGGTTTTTGGCGACGTCTCATGGAGGAGCCTAATGGTACAGTATTGTGTGCAATTTGCAAGAATTCTAGGAATGGTACAGGCATTTTGTCCACAGGAATGGAATGTCCACAGGCATTTCCCTGACCCACATCTATGCCCACATTCCTGGAAACCCTTGGGAAGACCCAGAAGACCTGTCTGCCACGGATGGCCCTACTTTCGGTGGCCCCAGGGCTCGTTCACTATACACTCGGGGGAGGAGTGCACTGTATCTGTCTTGCTCAAAATCATGAAAAGATGGCAGTGCCATGCAAACAATTACCCTAACATGAACCACCGTCGCCATGACAATGTATGTTTTCATTGCCAGTCTTTTAAAACTTTCATTGTACTAGTGGGGTTTCTAAATTGACCTTTAATCGGGATGATCAACCACTTTGATTATTGCTGAAGTTGAAAAAAGTACAAAAACATTAAGTTAAATTTTTCCTCAACAGGTTATCCTCCATCCAGCTGCACTGAAGTAGCAGAAAGAAGTGGCATTGATGACCAGACTTTCTACGTGATCGACCCTGACGGTCCAAGGCGCGGGGTCCTGCCAATGGTTGTCCAGTGCGACTTACAGGGACAGAAAGGTTAGGCCACACCGACTTAAGGTAGCAGAACACAGTTTTTCGCCTATGGGGATTTCTATAGTTAAGGACCCGGAAGTGACTGACATCGACTCGGATAAAAATACAGTAGGGTACCATAGAAAAGCACGAGAAACGAATATGTTCAAATATAGGGTACGATGTACAAAATAACAAAAAAGTACAAAAAGTTATCGTTTTTTTTGACATTATGCCGCTCTCTTTTAAATGGCCTCCTGCGGAGCGCACCGGAACTGCAGCCGACTCACCCTGCCAGGCAGCGAAAAGGTCACGCGCATTTATACGCCGATTGAGCAGCCTTCCTAATCTCAATTATGCGATATCAAAGCCGACATATTATGGTACCATACGGTAACTTGTATGTCCCGGTGTCATCCACGTTAGGCTGTGTACAAGCGGTGCAAGCTGTTTGTCGCACTCATTTCTTATCCCTACGTCATCGTCTCCGGGGGTCGCGGAGGAATACTGTGTTCTGCTACCTTAACTTTATGGATGACATCCGCGCGCACATTGATTTTCGCTTGCTCTCAAAACTAAAAATCAGTACATATTACGTACAGTGCCGATTGATAAATTCCGCAAAAATCCAACATGTGCCGGCTTGTTGTATACGTCGCTATGCACTGCCGCAAATTCACAATACCAGCTTTGTATTCCTGTGGTTTAGTACCATTTTTACTTTTGGCCGGATTTATTCTATTCGCCCGCGCGCACTAGTTTGGGGGTCTTCGGAGGAAGTCAGTCCATGAAATTAAGTCAGTGTGGTCTTAGTAAACAAATCAGAGTGTGCTGGCAAGTCACGTCAATCTGAGGAACATTAGGCAAAGAAAATGTGACCTCTACCTTTGAGTAGATTTTGACCCGTGTTATGTGGTGGTGATCGGAAGTTCACTCGTGTGCGAGTTTCAATCATTCATTCATTCATTCATTCATTCATTCATTCATTCATTCATTCATTCATTCATTCATTCATTCATTCATTCATTCATTCATTCATTCATTCATTCATTCACACTCGCACAGACATACACACACAAACACATGCTGCTTAGAAGACAAAGCAAGTACCCGCATGTAGGATTTGAGGTTAACGTTTCTAGCTGAAATTCTGACGTTCAAATAGACTAGAAAGATAAGTTTTAAAAATAAGATCAGTCTAGTGTTTGAACGCTTCGTTACATTTTCAGTAATTACGCTGATTGGCCACGACAGTGAGACACGGACACGTGTGAAAGGGTTTGAGAATCCAGGTAGCTACTCCAAGGATGTGACATACTGGAACAGCATGGACCAAGTGAGTGCTGTGGTGGACCGGTCATCTCATTGCAAACAGCACATCAAGGTAAGTAAGTCTTGTTTACAGTTCAGGCGTGCCAGAGGTTAGCCTGGGAAACAGTCATGTGTCTGATCGAAACTTGAACTTGTGTCTGATCGAAATGCTGGACATAGTAGGATACAAGGGAAAGTATTTACAAAGTTACTAGAGTTCAGTGATCTCATATCTTCATAGATCTTTGTCTTATATTTCAATTGGTGTGTGTGTATGAATGTCACCATATTCTCTGCCCATTGGGCAAATTACACAACATCAAAAGATATCATTTCCGGTAAATTTCCACCATTAAAGGCCCACTGCAATAAAAACAAGAATTCGGAGATCTCCATGAAATTAGTTTTTGTAAATTTTTTATTATTTGTCTCATTCACTATGGAAATAAGGTCGTAATTAGCATAATCTAGTCTAATTTATGGTCTTCTAAATTCAAATATCAATATTTTTCATATAAAATTCCTCTCCTTTGTCATGCTTCATTTCAACATGTCCTCAATAGTTATGCAAATTACCTCTACATTAACATAATGCCTTAGAAGGTTAACAACCTTTAAGCAACTTACACATGTCACAAGGTATAAAATTCCCGTCATTCCCCAAAAAGGAGTCACAGAATGTTCACATTAATTATGCAAATTAGGTCATCATTTGCATAATTGGTATCTGTTGATGTTCCGTCTGCCACAGATTAAATAGATTACATGTATAAACGTACTATTATATAAACATTGTAATTATAGAATTTCCTCTTTAATTATGCAAATTAAGTGCTCATTTGTATTTTTGGATTTAATTATGTACAACTCCCTGTCAGCTACCTACATACCAAAAAAGACGAAAATACGTTGTTCCCAGCTGGATTTATTGGCTTTTAAAGTTTTCGCCAGAAAGTCCCCTGCGGTTTCAGAACAAGCTGCTAGGGAGACCAAACCCACACCACTTATTCCTGACAGGGAAAGCTATCTGTCACCAAAAAGTCAAGAACATAGCATGTTCAGGACAAAAGATACAAAACCCGGAAGTTCTGCTGCAGTACAGACAGACGCACGGACACACACACACAGACACGCCAAAACCAATACCTCAATTTTTCATGGAGGTAAATATGTACTTCCAGTATGAATGCCTTGCTTCAGTGATCTGGGAGCACCGACCCGTTGCCTGGTGGGTGACCTGGGACGGTCGCCAGGCTGACTACTGGGGAGGTGCCAGTCCTGGCAGTGGGAAATGTGCCTGTGGACAAACAGGTTATTATGACTTATATATAAGGCATTAACCTGCATCATGCTGGCAATTCAGGGTAGAATAGGATAGGTAGATTTGTCATGTGTCCATTTTTTATTCAAAGGCAGTGTTTAGAGACCGGAGGGGCTATTTTTACCTCCAAAAAAAATGGAGGTATTGTTTTTGGCGCGTCTGTCTGTGTGTCTGTCTGTCTGTCTGTTGTGTTTCCGCACATTTGTAGCCAGCATAACGCCTTTATGGATTATCATGATATTTGGTATGTTGGTAAGTCTTAGGAAGACAAAGGTCAAGGTCAAATATGGGCCTCCTGGTGGATGACCTTGGTACTGCCGCAGAACTTCCGGTTTTTGTTTTGTGCATTATGTTACTTCTCTTTGAGACAAAATTTTTCACAAATTAATAAATCTTTCTCTTTGTTCTTCCCCTGCACAACAGGCACATGCCAGGGTAGATGCAACTGTGACGTCAATGTTTACACATGGCGTGAGGATTCTGGGTTCCTGTCCCACAAGAATGACCTGCCGGTCGCCCAGCTCAGGTTTGGGGATACTGGTGATGGTTCTGAAGATGGCTATCACACCCTGGGGAAACTCATCTGCTATCCCTGAGCCTATCTGTGTGAATCATTGCATTTGTCTGTCTGTGGAAGAAATTAACCAATACAGCACGCAGTGTTCACTCAAACATTTTAACATGCAAAGATGCAGTGCGAAAGTAACAAAAATGAATTCATTACATTTTTGGTAGATACCTTGATGTGTGGGAGAGAGTGAGTGAGTGAGTGAGTGAGTGAGTGAGTGAGTGAGAGAGAGAGTGAGAGTGAGTGAGTGAGTGAGGAATGAGTGAGAGAGTGAGTGGGTGAGTGAGTTAGAGTGAGTGAGTGAGTGAGTGAGTGAGTGAGAGAGAGTGAGTGAGAGAGAGAGTGAGTGAGTGAGGAATGAGTGAGTGAGTGTGAGTGAGTGAGTGAGTGAGTGAGTGAGTGAGTGAGTGAGAGTGAGTGAGTGAGTGAGTGAGTGTGTGAGTGAGTGAGTGAGTGAGTGAGTGAGTGAGTGAGAGAGTGAGTGAGTGAGTGAGTGAGTGAGTGAGTGAGTGATTTATAACTAACATATCTTAGTCATGGAAGCCAACCTATTATGATGGGTTTAGTTTTTAATGTGCAAGGTTTGATTCGGCATTATATTATCAGCAGAATACGTTACCAGTAGATCTGAGGTGTCGATGTTTATGTTTTGTTGTATTTCTTGTAAGTTTGTATGGTTTTCTAATAGAGGTTTGCATGGTTTGCATGTACATATGTTTGAATTTTCTTAATTGGTTGATTTCGATAAAATTCCTGTTGACTTTTGAGTAGTAACAAATACTACATGTTAAGACTTGATGCCTTGTGTGCCTAGCTATAGAACTCATTAGACAAAAATACACAAGGATTATAGTGTTGCGTGTACCTTAACAACTTAATCTTCAACTTTTAAGGTGCTCATACATTATAAATAACTAAACTACAAGATCCGAAAATAATTTCATCAGGTTGGTAGAACTTAGGAGACAGGTATTTCTTTTACACAACCGGTAAATTCTCACCTTGCTGACGTTAGGGTGTCTGTCAGACACCTTCTTCAGAGCTTCTGACTGGAGTACTGCATTTCGCCGCTATACGTAGCCGATGTAGGTGGCGAGACGCAGTACTCCAGTCAGAAGCTCTGAAGAAGGTGTCTGACAGACACCGAAACGTCAGCAAGGTGAGAATTTATTGGTTGTGTAAAAGAAATACCTGTCTCCTTAACTACAAGATATCTGAAACATTACAACAGGATTCATGCTTGATGAAAGTCATAAACCCTACATGTACTTGTAAGTAAATGTTCACTTGGTGACTGTAGACTGTTAATTTGAATGTTAAGTTTTGCTGAAACTCGTATTTTCCAAGAATTATAGTAGAGTGGAACTCGTTGCCACCAAGCACAATTGGAGCATCATCACCAGAAAGCTTTAAGCATTCCCTACAATTAAATGTGCAAAGATTGAGTGTAACAAGTCGTTCGGTGTGATACAGCTATCTGCCGCTGCGCCACGTGCCTGCGAAGCTGGTGTGTTACGCCGAAGGGCGGTTATACTTTCTATACCGATAAAGATACAGAAATGTCACTGTATGACTTACTGGTAGTAAGGAGTGTGATTTGCATTTCCTTGGTAAATAAAATGTAAGACTTTCTGTTACCTCTGCCTGACTTTTTTAAGAAGACTAAGTCCTTCAGCACAGTAAAGATAGTTTGAACCATATACTAGTAGCTTTAGTCCTAGTTATTGAGTTAAGTAGTAGTAGAATTGAGTATCAATAACGACTGTTAATATCAATAACAACTTTAGATTTGCTCATCCAATCAAATAATACAACCAATCAAGATATCTGAAATTCCTGTATGTACATTACAGGATGCATACTTAATGCAAGTCATAAACCCCACATGTAATTATGTTTTTGTATCCACTTCGCTCTAGCCCTGGTTAATAACTTAATGCCCCGCTCCAAGGTATATGTGGTAAGATAATTCCTGGTCAGGTGCGATAACCGCCGAATAAACCACCAAGTGAGCGTAGCAAACGAGGTAGTTTATGAGGTGATTTCTGCACCTGACAAGGGATTATTTCACAGTATACACCGAGGATACGGCGGGGCATTAACGTTAGTTATTATTATATAGCCTACCCAACTGATCAGTTATTTGACACAACTTCCTCTATAAAATTCTTTTATTGCCGAAAAAACTCTCACATTCTATGTTACGTGAAACAAGATGGCATGATCATCTTGGCAATCATCTGCGGTGACCTCGTGACAGTACCACTTTTAGTGGGGGTGTCAAAATCATGTTTAAGTCTTTTTTCTGTTTAAATTTCATTTCTTTTTGATTTGTGTTGTATTTTAGACTAAATCATTCAAAATAAAATACAATACGTTTTGCTAGCTAATTAAAACGTATTGTAGTTTATTTCGAATTATTTATTTGAAAACACAACAGTTAGTAGTGTTAAGACATGTAGTATATATGATAAATACTAAAAGTCTTAACACTACTGTTAGTGCCCTGTCCCCTGCATAATGGTACGGTCCAAACAGTTGCCGGTTATTCTAATGATAACCAATTTAAAATGGAGCCTTCTGATTGGTTGACGTCATCTGGCTATATGATAATTCCCTATATTATCGTATCAGGTCAATCAAATACCCGTACCCGGTCTTTATACAAACATTACAGATAGTTTAAAAGCCTTGATAATTAATAGATGCCGAAAAATACTCTCCTATAATAATTAAAAAACAATGAAAACACCCATACTTTCCATACTAGTATTTTACCATTACGCGTAGTCGCGTACATACTTGTACATACTTTGCCTACATATGCATGGTCTACGGACACTAGGACACTGGGAAGCCACGTGCACGCATGTTTTATGAGGGTCGCTCTTTCCAGCCGCCTCCTAAGCCTGGTAGAGGCTGGGAAGGATATGCCCCC